GGATTAGGATGATGCTAGGTGTTAAGAGAAAATGTAAAGATATGTATTTATTATGGCATGTAATTGACTAGGACAGAGGCTCCCAGACTGTGTCCTGCTGCAACCTGAAGTGTTAAAAAATGAATGGACTTAATGCAAGCCATTGATAATTAAGTTGGTATTTTTCACTAGTTCTCCAACCTACTTGGTACTCTACTTGATAGAGTCAAGTGAAGTTATTGAGGTATGTCTTCTTGTATAAGTATAAGGTTTCAAAAATGGATTAGATTGTTTAAAAGGTGCTATTTTACAGTGCACAAAGAATGTGGCTTAGAGCAAAATTGAAAAGACGTGGGTGCAGCAACGGTGCTGTGACTCCAAAACGCTTGGGAAACTCTGGACTAGGATATTTGAAATTCATGTACTAGCAGCATTGCTGGTAGGAGAACTGGTCACACGAAAGCTTTTTCGTTATCCCTCTTGGGACGTAACCCTCTTGATTTCTCGCGGTCTAGCAGTGAATCTGACACTGACGAAAACAATCAGGAAAGTAATGAAGACAATCAAAATGATTAAGTTTACGATAATGTTGTGAATCCTTGGATTAGGATAAGGGTTTCTGAATTGGATAGAGATGACCCTTATGAATTTGTAGAAAAAAATTGAGCCTTTAAATATGCCTCATGGGATAAGCACCCCATTTGAGTACTTATGCTAATTTTTACACAATATATCATTAAAATGTTTGTGATAGAGAATAATAATAATAACTAATAAGTATGCAGACAACTTTCTCAGTAACACCCAGCTCAAATAAACCATAATTGGATGCACAGTGGTGAAAAGGATCGCTCTGCCTGAAGCAACCGAAAAGTACCCTGAGGGCAGGAAAAGGAGACCTCTGTGCCAGGGGTGTCTAAAGGGCCTCCATGGGCCTTATTTCCCAAAACACATGTGTTAGGATCCATTCATGCGTCATCCATCAAAAAATTCACATAATTTACACGGTAAGTCATGTTTATTCTCAGTTGAAAATCGACGAGTCTGTTAACGTGCAGAAAAAATCATGTCGGGCGAGTTTTGCCACAACAATTGGTCACATTAAACTTTTTATTTTAGTTACTCTATTAGTTTGGCTAAGGCTCCTTCTCTAACCAGGCTTATTAACTTCAGGATAACAGTCCTAATACGATGTCCATTACTATCATTCCTGGTTCTTGTTTGTGGTTTGGATTTTGTAAGATATTTTTACATGGTTGCGTTGTTAGCCCTCAACTTTGACTTTGACCTTGAATCTTGATTGATGTCATGTTAATTTTTATAGAACTATATTTAAAATAGAAAGAAAAAATACAATAAAATTATAAACTTAAACGTATACTTACTTGCTTTTAGCTGTACGTCATATTGTTCTTCGTGTTTCTTCAATGCCACGTGAAAATCTTCAAAATATTGCACATTTCTCGATTGATAACAATGGCTCTAAGTCTAAGATGGCTAACCAACAGGAAGTATCCGTCATAACCGTCACGTGACCAACAGAATCTATAAAGCCCTCACGTGACCAGCGGGTCCGAATAGCCAATTGCTGCTATAGTTACTATATGAATGAAATAGCGAAACGAGGTATGTGGAAGCTTGAAATAAGATAACAGGACAAAAAACAAGGACGCTTCGGCATAAAACCTTCCTCAGCCAACACTAGAAATGAAAATATAACAAAGAAAAGAGCACAGTAGACAACTCAAGCAGTATTCATTCGTGTCTCCGGAAGTGGGAAAACAGGAAGCGAGAGAATATAAATATTGACACTGTGAAAAATAAAGTCCACAATAATAATGGACCAGAATATCCAGGGATGCATCAACAAACAGCAATAAGAAAATAGATGAAATATAGGGAGACGGAGAAACATCAGTAGGATATTATTTGATTAATACCATATGGAGATATGGTGCCAAACAGCTGAATAAATTTATTTTCCATTTTAACCCTATCTGGTGTGTTACTGCATGAAATCAATGCCGTAATGGTTACATCCAATGCACCTTTATGTTCTTTTTGGTTGAAATGAGAAGAGACCGGGGAAGGTTTACATTGCTCAATATCCCTTAGATGTTCAGTAAACCTATCAGCCAATCTTCTCCCAGTTTCCCCTATGTAACTAGATTGGCATCTACGGCAAACAATCGCATATATTACATTTCTGCTGACACAGTTACTATAGTTACTATAGCCACTCCCCATGGATTATCAGTAGATTTTATAACTGGCTAGCCCAGAAAAATACTACTTTGATTAAACTACACTAAGAAGATTCTTAACTCTAGCTAACTACACAATTTCACAATGCATTTTAAAAAAAAATTCATGACATGTCTCTCTTTTAGTTATAGATAGAGAGACATGGCTGACTTCAATTCTATCTATATATATGATGAGTTCACCATACTGCTATAATGGCAATAACAACAAATTTAAAACACATTAAAGCACAGTTAAATTTCTCACCTATCAAACTTGTCTTGTCTTTACAACAGCTTGGCTTTAAATTTAAATAATTACAAAATGGCTGATCAAAATCAGTTCGGAAATTCCAGATTGTTGGACGCATTTGTCAAAACGTATATGTAGGCGAGTGGTAAAAGTTAGAAATAGAATAAAGAATTTGAATACGTATTACTTGAAAGTAATGTTGAATCGAGTTTATTACAACCCCATGTTTTTGTATTTAACTTAAAGAACTTTGTGGACTACGTCTGACGTCTGTATTAACTACGCAGGGGCTTACATATTTTAGTTAGACCATTAGCATCACCCATAATAAAAGGATGTCTCCCAATAGTAATACTATGAAATACAGGATTATATTCAAGTAGCTCTACAGATAATTTTTTTTTCCTATTTCAAAACCAAAAAAATGTATGTCAAGTAAGCTATATGATAGAATTAATCCATCTCAGTCAGATGATTTACATTTTTCCTTCTTCCTAAAGTTTGAACTGAAAATTTCATAGCAATAGCTTCATTAGTTTAATAATTGTATTTTTTTTTGTGTAAAATTTAATTTTCGATTTATTTTTATCCAAGCCATGTGCTCATAAAATAATATTTTATGTTTAAAAAAAATAAGTTAATTCACAATTCATGTGTTTGGTTTTGTTAAACATTTATTGTAAATGTCTCGTCAAAATTTGAGGACTCTAACTTTAATAGCCAAAAAGATACCACCAAAATAGTACCGGTACCAAAAGAGTAGTAATGCGATAATAGTTTTAAAAATTAAATTCAAAGCCGAATAGTGGGGTAAAATAAATCACACACAAATTCATATCTTTTCTCCTATAAATGAAAGGATTATCTTGGTGTCAATGGAAAGTTTAAAGCCAGCTCTTTCCAATGATATGCTCTTTGTATGTGTCAGATGTAGGCCTATTTGAAATTTTGAGTTGGAGTACCTACCCATCTGTCGATTCTGAGTTGACGTCCTGTCCTATAAAAATCTCTTTCATATGCAATTTATATAAATCTCGTTCATATGCAAATGAACTATAACAACAAGACATGTTTATTTAATCAAAAGAAATAAAAATACAAGAGTATTAATGCACTAACGCGTATCTACTATCGCTATAAAAATATATATATAATTGAATTATTAGTACTGTCATTTTTTCAAACTAGAAAATATTTACTTCATAGATTTGGCAATGCTTTGCCAGAGATGGTTATCATTGTCTTAACAGGTGGAATCTAACTAGCGACATTTCTATTAAATCTTTGTTATCATGAGCAAAGCTTATTGTATGGGTCAAATGGGCTTGGTAAATTAATACCATTAGTTTAATCAACACTTTCAGAACTGTGTATTATATTTCTTTGCTTGGAGTAGTGAAATACAATCACACTAGATCCAGCAACCCCCAGATACGATATTTTAAATACAACAAGACACCTGTTCAGCACTTTCCGCATTGCATGCTAGTAACAATAAACGTTCGTCTCAAGCCAAAATCCCTTGTACAGTTTCTTAAGCTCTGGTTTCAACTAAATATCATTTTAAGTTTATATATCTATTCAAACCTCAAATCTGTATCTTAAAGTTCATTGATCACGCTATCTAAAATTTCAATTTAAAAATATCTTGAAATCGCTCACATGACATGCACATATTTTAAATGGTCGCAACGTACTTGAAGATTATGATCTGGTAACCCTCCTTTTCATCTACAGATCCTCTCAGTTCAGCCTACAACAATTACTTCTCACTGTGTCTGTGGCTTCGTGTGAGAGGAGCTTTTAAAAAATAAAACTTGCGATCTAATTTGAAAGAAGTCCAGTATTTCTGGTTTTGCGATTTTGTTCAGTGGGAAGTGATAAGTGAAGATTGGTAGCTTTGATGAAGTGATTGACAGGATTGCATCTTTGAAGACCAAGAAAGTAACATTTTCAACTGTTAGGATTTTCGTTTAAATAAAAAGTCATTTTGATGCATTTTTTAAATACCCCCCCCCCAAAAAAAACAAAAACAAACAAACAAAAAAAACAAACAAGCAACCACCATAATTGCACTGAACTTTCAACAATGTTACCTCAAACTCTATGCATACCCCCTATGTCCTTTGTTGATTTAGGTCTCAATTTACAAACAATACAATACTATAAACGGTTTTGTATGATCTGGTTAAATTTACGCAGTGCATGTCCGGTTGGGGGGGGGGGGGGCCCGAAATTTTTTTAAAAAGGGAGAGAGGGGGGGGAGGGGGCTGACACCATGAGTTTCCAGTACAGAGTGACGTCTATGATCTCATGACAAGTATTTTAAAAAAAAATGGAATTATTGATCATATATTTATCATGTAGTTTATTATTTAAAGGCTAGTGGCACATCTCTATTCTATTAGTATCAGTAAATGTATTTTGCAATTTGCTTCAGGTCCTTGTTTGTTTTTTGTTTCTTAAATGTCTAATTCATAAATATAACATAAAAATAACATGACATATTCAACAAAAGATTAACATGAGCTTTCAAGATGGTTTAATTAAAGATAATATAATTCAATACAAACAACATGACTGTAGTTACTAAAGTATGGGTAAATCAAATTTCTTTCTTTTGTGATCATTTATATTTCCATCCTGCTGCTACTATAAAAAACTAATGTTTTTATGAACAGGTCAAGGCACTTCACTTAAAAACAAAACTGAATATTTTAAAATAATTTTAAACCACCTGGTGGACATTACATTATATACTATAATAAAAATTTAAAGTGGATTTTACTTGAATAATTTTGGAGATCTTTGGGTCAACACAAAAAATGCACACACAGTTAATAAGACAGCTGTTCAATTTGACCCTCTTGAGACAGCTGGGCCGATCTATGAGATGGCTGGGTCAATCTGTCAGACTCAAGTCCAATGGTAAAAAGGACAAAGTCTTAAGATTTTCCAGCTGGTCTTTGCACCAGCTAATCAGATGGTGCCATTTTAATGGCAGAGTCCATTGATATTATTTTTTTTTTAAGGTGTTATGTCATTTTATAAAAAAATTTTGGGTAACTAGTGACCCTTATAAATGCTTTATAAAAAATTGGAGTTTGAAATATGCCAAAATGTTCACATTTTATCTTATTCAAATATTTATTAGGATGTACTTATGCTTAAAAAATCGGAAAATTCAGCAAAAATTCTGTAAGTAAGACATGTTCATTCTGAGTATTGAAAAAAATTGCATGTATAAATTATGCAATCAGGACATCTCATTGCATAAACATTGAGATTTCAGTGTGTTTCATAACGAGTGTATTAGTCATTCAGTTCCCTAGAAGAATGTATATAGTTTTATATTTGTAAAGTAACAGTTAAAATAAGTTTTTTTAATAAAAAAAAAATTATTTGCAAAGTGCAAGTCTCCGTTTCCTTGGCAATGAGAGTATAAAAAGGCACTTTCTCAAGACGATTAAAAAAATACAAGATGTGAATGCTGTAAGAGATTGTTAGACTAATACATCATTAGCATAGGACTCTTATACAAAAGAATTGTTTCCAATTACCGTCTATAATCTACCCTTCAAACTTAAAAAAAAAATTGAGGTTAAAATGAGATTAGTTTTTAAATGAGCTTCTTTTATTCGTGAGTGCACAAAAAAAAGGGCAGGATGTGAAAAGATTGCATTTAATAAAATTTGAATTATAAATGATATAATATCTCACCTCCTCGGGGCATAAAAATACATCATGAGCAAATAACTAAACAGTGATCTTTTATTACAACCCCCCGCCCCCCCCCAAAAAAAAAACCAACAACACATAATTGCACTGAAAATTACCTCATAGTCAACAACTCTCCCACACAAATAATCCACCACAATTCTTCCACACAAATAATCCACCACAATTCTTCCACACGAATAATCCACCACAATTCTTCCACACAAGTAATCCACCTCAACTCTTCCACACAAAGAATCCACCTCAACTCAAGATGAGTATCCTTTGACTTGGAATGAACATCTTTAACCCACAATCCCCCCTCTCCTCCCTCTTGATGTATGATCTTTGACCTCAGCACCAAACACACACTCCCCCTTCCCTCCCTCTTTTGATGTAAGAACTTTGACCTCAGCAGTGTTTAGGCTGTTGTGCTTGAAGAAATGTAAAATCCTGGTGACTTTTGATGCCCAATTTCTTGCAGAGATCTGGGTCATGTGATCTGCCACTCCTGGTCTCACAAAGTCTCAGTACTCTGCATGTGGCATCACAGGATCCAGAGTTGCGGGACTTGGTGTAAAACCTGTTTTTGTTTTTAAAAAGTTAAGTTTTCTTTCCCTTTCAGCTTAAACCCAACAGTAATTTGTAATAATTTATTTTTTTTTAATACACAGAGCAGATTTACACATAATATTGATGTTTGAAAATATTTTGACAACTTGGCAAATTTTTTTAAAAAGTTCTCTGCTCCTTGTTTCTACCCAGTAGTGTTACACTAAGATTTCTGCTCCTTGTTTCTACCCACTATTGTTACACTAAGATTTCTGCTTCTTGTTTCTACCCAGTATTTTTAAACTAAGATTTATGCTTCTTGTTTCTACCCACTATTTTTAAACTAAGATTTCTGCTCCTTGTTTCTACCCACTATTGTTACACTTACACTAAGATTTCTGCTTCTTGTTTCTACCCTCTATTTTTAAACTAAGATTTCTGCTTCTTGTTTCTACCCACTATTTTTAAACTAAGATTTCTGCTCCATGTTTCTACCCACTATTGTTACACTAAGATTTCTGCTCCTTGTTTCTACCCACTATTGCTACACTAAGATCTCTTTTCTCATTGTTAACTTAAAAATACCTGTTGTAAGTCTCTAAGACAGTGTTGTTGGTTGCCATTAGCTCTATCAGTTTATTCCAGTCAGCAGGGTAGAGATTTGACATGCCATAGGACGCCTGGGGTGAGGGAGAGAGAGAGAGTAGGTGTATACAAGCAATGTGAGCTATCTTGACTTTATTTCCGTTTGGTGATAAATTTCTTATTTAAACAAAAACAAAATTTATACAAACAAATTTGTTAGGCTTCCTTTTCTCCAACTGAACTCGTCCGTTTACCATGAAAATTAAACCTAAAAAGCTGAAAGAACTTTTCATGCCACCATGAATAGGACTCTGCTATAAGTGTGAGGACTATTTTCTGTTACAGTCTATTGAAGTTTTGATTTCCCCAAACTATTTTTCATTTGTCACCTGATTTCAATTTGATGAGTTTAAACGATTAATGAGAATCCATCAGAAAACATCAGACTAGATCATGTTATGAAATGACCAGAAATAGTTACCTTGGCTGAATATTCCAGCTCCCATGTGATCTTTCCCTCCAAATTCGCTCTGGTCAGGTTGAGGTAAAACGTCTCGTGGTCTACGACTTGCTGGGTATAATTAAAAATATAGATGTTTATTAGAACTATTTTTGTTTCTTTTAGAACTCTGATCATTTTTATAAAAAAACAAAACAATTGTCATGACAATTTGAACCGCCGAATGGAAATAATGATTAATTTTAAATGCTATTTAAATTAAAATAATTATAATATAATGGCTTTAAAAAATGTTGCAGCAAATATTGTTAATAGAAAATATTCCCCCTCCCGATCCAATTTAAAACCAAACCAACTTACAAATGAGCTATTTTTGTAGTAGCCATCAACAGTATAGAATCTGTAGCCCATGTTGAGATTGGAGAATGGTGTGACACTTGGAGCCACGTAGGCCACGCCCACTGGTGTCTGCAGGGTCTCCACATCATAAAACACAGAAAAGCTGTCAAAATGGGTGTGGCCGAAAAATTGTCCAGCGATAGTGTTTTGGTATCTGTAGTGTAGCATAATGAACATGTGACTTTTGATTATGGAGCTATTCACCACTGGGATGATGGGAACTGATTGCCCTCCACTTTGAATGACCCCCCCCCCACCCCCACCCCCCCCCCCCTCACGGAAATACACATGAATGCTTTGAAAGATCTTCTTCCCCACCACACATGGGAATACACATGAATGGTTCCCCTCACGGAAATACACATGAATGCTTTGAAAGATCTTCTTCCCCACCACACATGGGAATACACATGAATGGTAACAAAAACATAATTCAGATAAAGTTTTTAATAATTAATCTGATGACAAATTTTGATGTAGGCCAAAGTTTCATGCAATTCTACCCATTCATTTCTATGTTGGTGTTTTAAAAAAAAAAAGACAAAGGACATCAACGAATGTCCAACACCTGCATACAATAAATAGAGAACAGACGGTCCTTTCATACAAACTCGGCAGCATCATGCGAAATGTTAAGCTACAAGTTCATGAAACTTTAAAATTAAAAGAGTGATTTTTTTTTTCCAAGGGTAAACCCCCACCCACCTGCTGACTATCCTGTAGTAGTTCCAGCTCCAGGTCTTCAGACAGTCCTTGACTCCAGGAGGGATGTGTCCTATGATATGCACCTTCTCACCTTTATCCTCGGCCAACTGTAAGGTGGAAATGAGCCACTGCAGCTCACCAGCAGGGTCTGATGCATTCAGCAACATCCACCTGATGTAAAATTAACATTAGCAGTGTCAATGTTTCTACCACTGTGCCTATGACATTATATATGAATATATCAAATCAGACATAAAAACATTGTAATGACAAGGTGAGAGATGTTGGTGAACAGCTAAACCAGACATGACTTTGTCCATGACTATGTCTTATCTTGATAACCTGGGGTAATACTTTCATCTATTTGCCACAATCATATGATTGTTAAATGTGATGCTGTACCTCGATGTGGAGACTGTATATTATTTATAGATTTAATCTTCCTTATAAACTTAATTTTTTTGGGGGGTTTATTTCAGAAGTGGATCTTAGGTTTAAAAAGAAAATAAAAATGGATTTTGAAACAATTCAACACACGGGAGAACACCTAAAATTGATTTTAAAATGATGGTAATGCACTGGAGTCAAACAAAAATGTTCTTTGACCATTTTCAAATAAAAAGAACAGTCCATTGATTAATTGGACTTAAGTTTATTTCTTCACCATTTCCATATTTTTTTACTTTCGTTTAGCCCGGCTTTGGTCTCTTCATTTCATAGTATATTTTGTTGTGCCTATGTTCAATTGTGAACCATCCTGACTGTATCAAAAACATAAGGACTGCAGCTGAAAGCTAGTACATTCAACTGACTGCTGTATGATTTTTTATTCTTCCTTCTTTCCATTTACTTTAAAGAAATAAATATTTACAGAAGCATACATTTCTTTAGCTGGCTATCTCACCAATTTTGATTGTTACAGTAGTTCATATTCAAGGAGATAATTCTAAATCCAGCATATGGAGAAACTGTGTAGTAGGCTCCCCTGCAATATATTTTAATAAATTATAGTAAATCAGTGATCTCATTTTAAGAAGATGTATTTTTTTTTAAATAAAAAAAACAACACAAGAGTGTTTTAGAGAGTATGGTTCCTTAAATAATTTTATGCAGATAATGTGAGAATAATACGCCATAATATCATGTGTAAGTTTATTTAAGACTGATCCTTAGCAGGATTTTTGCAAAAAACTATGCAAAAAAAGAAAAATCAGAATTGCCCTAGAGAAATAACATTTCATCTTTCAACCTGACTGACCTGCGTACAGAATCCAGGGCATCAGATGGCAGCCATTGCTTCCAGCCATCAGCCAGAGCCTCATACAGCCAAGAAATGGAGTTGTTATTCTGAACATAAGGGGGTGGAAAGCTGTGGGGAAAAATGCAATAGTTTTTTATCAATCAAAAGGTGCAGTGAGCTCAGCTAAAACAAATTTATCATTGGCAGAAAATATTGTAGATTTACTTTATTGTCTGGCAAAAACTATTGTATATTTCCTGTAGTGTCTAGAAGGAACTATTGTAGATTTCCTGTAGAGTCTAGAAGGAACTATTGTAGATTTCCTGTAGAGTCTAGAAGGAACTATTGTAGATATCCATTACTGTCTAGCAGAAATACAAAAATGACCTGTTGACAGGAGAGCTTTCATGATTCCCCAGGCTGGGATACACCGGCTTGTTGGGAAAATATTCTAGGAAGAGTTCGACAAGTGTCTTGAGCACAGTCAGCTGGTCATTTCTGGACTGGTTCCATATGTTGTGAGGAGGCAGGTCCCCTGTCCATATGATGTAGTCAAACTGGAACAAATCAAGACTTAGGTTATACACCTTTTAAATGAATTTGAGGTTTGCAGTATGTAGAGATAATCATAACATATTGAAGTTTGCTTGTACAAAGGTACTGACCGTATTGTTCTCGGCTGCCAGCGTTGACAGCATGTCCTTCAGTGTCCACAGTGGCGTATCACAATTTCTGTAGTCACCAAACCTCCAGGCTCCATTTTTCTCCACCTCTGAAAAAAATTATGATGGGTAGATTATGTGAGTTTTGTCAGTGTGAGTCTAGACTTGTGTCATACAGTATTATTGGTCCAGACTTTGACTTGTGTATTACAGTATTATTGGTCCAGACTTTGACTTGTGTCTTACAGTATTATTGGTCCAGACTTAGATTTGTGTCATACAGTATTATTGGTCCAGACTTTGACTTGTGTCTTACAGTATTATTGGTCTAGACTTGTGTCTTACAGTATTATTGGTCTAGACTTGTGTCTTACAGTATTATTGGTCCAGACTTTGACTTGTGTATTACAGTATTATTGGTCCAGACTTTGACTTGTGTCTTACAGTATTATTGGTCCAGACTTAGATTTGTGTCATACAGTATTATTGGTCCAGACTTTGACTTGTGTCTTACAGTATTATTGGTCTAGACTTGTGTCTTACAGTATTATTGGTCTAGACTTGTGTCTTACAGTATTATTGGTCTAGACTTGTGTCTTACAGTATTATTGGTCTAGATTTGTGTCATACAGTATTATTGGTCCAGACTTAGACTTGTGTCTTACAGTATTATTGGTTCAGACTTAGATTTGTGTCTTACAGTATTATTGGTCTAGACTTGTGTCTTACAGTATTATTGGTCTAGACTTGTGTCTTACAGTATTATTGGTCTAGACTTGTGTATTACAGTATTATTGGTCTAGACTTGTTTCCTACAGTATTATAGTTGCCTGAAATAGATCAAGTTAAAGAATTACATGTTAGGTGCATACAATTTGTTCACAGTCTTAAACATGTGTTGAACTTATCTTTGTAATCAGGGAAAGGCAAGAAGTCAATCATGGATATTAAAACAAAACTTTCTTTTTCAACTAATATTTTTTTTATGTTCAATTTCCAATTGAAGTTTTTAAACAAATTATCACCCCCACCCCCTTTTTTCATCAACAGATACACACATCATCTTCTCCTAGAGGGGTACTTCCAACTCTGTGTCACACTTCTGTACAAACTTGTATGCTACCCACCACCCGCTTTCCTAACAAACTGTGACCTTTGACTCTTTGTAACTTGATGACTACACCACCCACTAGGATCCTAACTTGCTGCTCCCCCACCCTAGCACACCACCCTCTAACCCGGCTCCCATCCACTAGCCCTGCTCCCATTCACTAACACAGCTCCCATCCACTAGCCCACCTCCCATCCACTAACACAGCTCCAATATTACTTACTGGTTCCACGACAACACAGTGGCTCCTTACAGTATGTCTCACTTCCTTCCTGATAGTCAAGGTCAAAATGTATGTCAGTAAGATGTAGGAATCTAAAGGTTGGGGAGCCAGGCTAGGAAAGATTATCATACAAAGGGTCAGCAATGATGTAAGGGGGGTGGGAGAGACAGCAAACAGCTTTTAAACAGGATGTTGAAGTACTCAACAACAAGTCAGTGTATAAATGGAGAGATAAAATGAGATGGCTGTTAGCATCAGTTATTGTATGAAGTAATCAGCTGATGTGTATAAATGGAGAGATAAAATGAGATGGCTGTTATCATCAGTTATTGTATGAAGTAATCAGCTTATAGGACAAAGTGTTTTTTTTTAGTCAAGTGCCAATAGAGAATGCAGTCAGCAGCTACAGCATAGCCGCAAAATAGTTTTAGCTCAGAGTTACAAAACATTTCAATTATTCAGGACTAACACATGGAGATTTTGAAAAAGGTATCTTACCACAAATATCCTCAGATGATTATTGTGCATAACAAAAAAATTAAATAATTGTCTCGTATCAGCTTACAACAGACAAACGTGGGAAACATAATAGATTTTATTGTTAAAGCCATTATTTTATGTTGAGACATCAACTGGACGATCCATGCAGAGCACCACTGTGTGTGTGAGTGTGTGTGTGTTCATCCATGCAGAGCACGACTTGTGTGTGTTCATCCATGCAGAGCACCAATGTGTGTGTGTGTGTTCATCCATGAAGAGCACCATTTTGTGTGTGTGTGTTCATCCATGAAGAGCACCAATGTGTGTGTGATTTAAACATTCTATGAAATGGTGTTTCTTAAAATACTTTGGCTTAGCTCTAATTTTAAGCACCCGTAACCTATGTAGTTCATGTAGCATATATAGCATAAGCAGCTTGTGGCGAAAAAGTTAGTAAAAATGAACATACTTTAAATATATATATTTTTTAATTCAGACATCTTGTCTCAGTTCAAAAATAAAAACAGTTGTATGTGTCACAGGTCACACAGGATGCACCACGTACACACCACATACACATCACGTACACACCCAGTGGCATAGCGAGGGGGTGCGGACAACACCTGGTGATAACGACCCTAGCTACGCCACTGTACACACCACAGGTATATTGATAACATGGTGCAGACAAAAACAATTTATTTTTGAGGAAGACGTCATAATTATTATTTTGAAAAAATATATAGCACAGGGGAAAATTAAAAATTAAAGAAAAAAACATCATAGTGGTAGATATTTATTGTAAGAGTCGGGGGGGGGGGGGGGGGTGTTAGGTGAATACTGGAAGTGAAGGACACTTTGCCAGTCTTAAACCAAAAAAAAAATTAAAAAAAAAAGGTTTGGTATCTAAGAGGGTGTATGACAGCGTTTCCCAAATTTTAATTTTGGCGGACCAGTGGACAAATTTCAAAAATGAACCAGGGACCAGTGCCAGATTTATTTATTATATTTTTTTTTGTTTGACCATAAATATTCATGTTATGCAGATGGGTAAGGGCAACATAAGGCTCTTGGACCAGTGCCAGTCCGTAGACCCCCATTTGAGGAATGCTGGTGTAGGGTGCACTGAAAGAAAAATCAGTTCATTACGCTAGGAATTGTAAGGGTATACTAAAATAAAAATAGGTTGATTACTCTAGGGCAGTGGTCGGCAAACTCAAGGGTCAAAAGAGCCAAAAATCAGCAGCAGGACGATTAAAATTTATTAGAGAGACAAATTTATTTTCAAGAACCCGTCAAGAACCATGATTTTCGGAGTCAAAACCGATTTTTGGCTGACTGGCCAAGCCCCACTCAGGTTGTTAAAGAGCCGCATGCAGCTCTTTTTCTGACCACTGCTCTAAGGGGTGTAGGGGTATACTAAAATAAGAATAGGTTACTTACCACAGGGGGTGAGGGGTAAAATGACAAAGTATTCAGTTACTTACCCTAGGGGGTGTTGGGTACACTGGAGGAGGTTGAGGCACTGGGGGAAACGTCACATTCCAGTTACTTTGTGGGCTGTAGGGGGCACCACACTCGGGGCCAAACACAAAGCTGCACACCTCCGATGGGCTGAGGGGCGTATTTTTTAGCACTGTGAGGACCTCTGGCTGTTGAGTATGAAATGTGAGAGCCACTGCAAAGTGAATCTATCACTGTGACAAATAGGGTTGATCTTAAACTAAACTTCTCACACAAATTTCTCTTTATTCCATAATATGATGAGTTTGTGTAGTTTTTTTTTTATTTCTGTTTCATTAAAGTCATTCATTTAAGAAAGGATTAATTTTCCCATTAAGAATTTTAGCTAATTATTTCATAAATCTATAACATGATGTATTCAAACTTTGAAGACAACTCCATTTCTTTAAGCAGTGAGACTACAATAAAACAAGCAGTTCATTTTACTTTTATCAGGATGAAAAAAAAACCCTTTTTTTTTTTTAATGATTCTAGTCTATTATTAGTAATACAATTCCCTTCATATTTGGAAAGAATTTATAATGTCCCATTTCCTAAAGATTCTGACATTTACAAAATACTGCCAATGACAGATAGCATTAATAATACTGTTTCAAGATATAAAAGTTTCGTTGTTCACTATTGTAGTCTGATTAATGTCTGATATTGATTGGTGAGACCAGACAGCATTATTGTATTGCCAGCTACAGGCGACATTAAAACGTCTGCAGCTTTTGTAATGCAGAGTGGTCAAACTTTGGATATAATACTGAGATTGTTACAAGATATTCAGCCTAACATTTCAGTTTATAATCCCCTTCTCATCTGCAGAAATCTCATAAGTGGCAGCAAGGGTTAATAAAACATTTAAGGTATCCTAGATTCAATTCATTGCTTACATACCAGCAACAATGTTTGGCCAGCTGCGCCGGAAACAAATAAACTTGTAAATACTCTGCAAAGATCATCATAGTTATGGTACAACAGAATCGAATCTAGGCATTTTGGCGGCAAGGATGACCTCGTTAAAGCCAGCTCCACTCCTTGTAGGGAGATGTGAAAGCATATCGAATTTTATTTTTAAAAATGGTGGTTGTTTTGGTATCCTTCTACCGTGGTGACCTCCCATGTTGTCCGCCAATTGTTTGGGCTCTGTTGTATCATACTAATATTGCTAGGCAAATGTGCCAAGGAATGGGCAGTTAAAATTTCTTCTTCTTTTTTTTTTTTTGATACCAAAACTTCTATTTTTATTGTTTTGCACTCAACCAATTTAAACTGTATAATGACATTTAGGGCAGCTTGGACGGCGCCATTATGTTTTATCTGAGAAAACGTTTAGACCCGCAATAAAAAAAAACCGTTAAACAATCTCTCGAAGCAGAATTGAAGATAAAGGTGAGGTTATGATGACATCATTAAAATTTTAAACCTTGCCGTCTGCCTTTGTCTGGTATTAAAACATGTCATGTTTTTCTACTATGAAACATGAGACCCATTTAAGTGCATGTATGGAATGAAAAGTGCATTCTCTTGTTGTCTTAACATATATCACATACGTTTTTTCCAATGATGTAAATCCAATTCATTTGTGGAGGGTATTAAACAAAACCAAACAAAATGAGATTCAGAGCTTTCATCCCAAAAATACCAGAGTTGATAACCTTTGATAATGGAGTCAAATCTGATATTTGATAGAATGATTGCCATGAAAACAAGAATGAAAAACATGATAGCCATGATACAAAGATAGAACATGCCTCCATGATAGCCATGATACAAAGATAGAACATGCCTTCATGATAGCCATGATACAAGAAGGAAACATGCCTCCATGATACAAGAAGAAAACAAGCCTCATTTATCCCATTTCACACTATTTGTGTTTCAATAAAATTTCACATTCTCAAAGTTAAAATTGTTGTTGTATTTGGCTTATTTCTTACCGTTTGGTCTCTGGTTATTTCCTTTTTATTGGATTAGATTTTACAACAAACACATTAAATACTAGAAAGTCAATAATTTTTTTTTATCAAGATGCAGAAACTAAGAAGCAAGACATTCCAAATATAAAATAACTTTTTTAGAAACACCCTTTAAAATACATTAGAAAAGAATACACATATGAATAAAACTCCCCCCCCCACCCCACCCTTTTTTTTTGTGTGTGACTACAACACAAAATACCTTGAGTTTTCTTTATAGCCCATTCATAACAGTAACAATAAGACCATCTAATCTTTTATATTTGGTGCAAAGGGCTATATTATCCCAAGTGAACATCCCACAAGAAGTTGCGCCACCTTTACTGGACAGCGAGCAAAGATCAATAGCCCAGGCCTAACGAGACCATGTTAATGGCCTAGCATTACTGGGCCCTCTTCAACATTGATGAATCCCCGGTGGCCAGTTAAGATAACTTTGGTGCTAGACAGAACTTGTTTCAGAGATTCAAAAGAATGTAATGAAATGGAAAAGCTCTATCACATCAAATGGTGATCAAAAAAAAAAAAAAAAAAAAAAAAAAAAAAAAAAATAAAAAAAAAATAAAAAAATGTAATAAAAAGAAAAAGCCCTATCACATCAAATGGTGATAAAAAAAAAAAAAAAAAAAAAAAAAAGCAACGATTTAGATAAAATGACCCATGAACTTTTAGTTGGTCTAAGAGCCATTACCAGTGATGTAATTATCAGAGGGCTATGGATGTAAAGTCTACAAAAGTTTTTAACTCCATAATAAATTTCATTAACATGAAGCAGTACATTAGGTGCTGCTTTACTTAATTTAATACAAGTTGTTACTTACAGCAAACTCTTCCACGAGACCCTGACAGACCCTTGGTGTCTCGATCCCAAAAAAGATGCAGACGCCTCGGACGGCAAGCTTGATGTCCTCAGATGATGTGTTTTCCTTCATCAACATTTGAATGACTTTAGCAACAATATTACACTTTAAGCAGGTGAATTTTCCAGCTCTGAGCTCTGATGTAGGGTTGCTTGCAGTCTTGAGTATTTTGTACCCTAATCCACCAAATAAACTCTGGCTTTCATGCACAGTGTTCAGATCAGGATTGTCTTGGCGAATGGCTTGATGTTTTGCAGACTTGTCTTGTCTTTGTAAGTAAATGTTCCTATACATCTCCTGTACATTTCCAGAATTTCTACTGTGTCTCGGTGTTACCTTTCCCAGGCAGGGAATTCTTTGCCCGACAAAACAGATTGCAAAAACAATCCATATGGTTGCCATTTTATCAAGGCATGTGACAAGTAAAGAATAAGTAATTTAACGTAAATGAGTTTCAGCTATTGTTCAACCATATGAATTATCTGTGAAGTGAAGAAAAACTTTAGGTATAAAACTGAAAGTTATTTTTCATTTTTATGCATCATAACAATAGAATTACATACATCATAATCTAACTTTAAAATTACAAGTTTCTCCTGTGACACAGACTATATAAAATATATGATGAATTTCTGAGACAACAAATATGTATTCATTTTTTTAGTACATGTTTTTTAATTGTTGAAAACCAAACATTAACCAGAACCGATGAGCGCATAGTTATGTATTTAATTCAAACCTAACAGCCTTTTAGTTCTCTTCATTTGAGCCAATAAATGACTTAATTAAATGGAGCATGATTTAAAGAAAATTAGGTCATCCTGCTTGTTTAAGCCTTGATAAACTACTTGTTTTCCTTCCCATTAGATATCTTGATGTGTTTTTAAAAAAAATCCAATTACAATATCAAGGGTTCAAACTGGTTTGTCTGTGATAAGAACAACTACTGATAACATTAGCGCAAACAATTAAAAACATGTATGTTTGCTTTAGCAGCATAATATCAAACACTGAAGTGTTATGTTAAGTATGAAGTCAGAATCTCAAACTCGTTAAGTTGTAAGTTGGAGTTTCCACAATCAGAAATATCCTAATTGGGTATTGAAGTGGAGAAGATGCTCTTAAAATTTCAGTGAAAATCAGCAGCTAAGTGGGTGTTAAATGGTTATTTATATTTATAAACCATGGTGCAAGAACAAAAAAAATAGAATATACAGTAATTACAAAATTTTCTCAAATGTAGTATTTTTTTTATCTATCCTTATACCTGTTGCCATACTCTCAACATCTGCTGTATGCAGGATTTCTCAATCTTAATTTTCCTAAATAATGATACAGCACCTCCCCACTCTAATGTTTCCCAAATGACTAGGTCAAAATGAATACAAACGCAACATAATCATTACTTATGACAATGCCAAAAGCATCGCCGGGTTTCTAGAATTACAAAAAATGGACATCATAAAGAAGAGGTGGACAAGACAAGTTTAACTTCATCCTTGTCATAGCCCAGATGTTTTTAAGGCTTCTGATCATTAAGGTGGGCTACTACATAAATTTTGCCTCAATTTAAACTCATCCAACTCTTTTATATTCCATCTGTTTTTGTTTGCTGGGCAAAAAAAAGTTAGCCTTCTAGTTTTTAAAGTTACCCTTCTGGCGAAAAGCACTATACTCTAAACTTAGCAGTTTTAGGGATGAGGCCTAATAAGATAGTATTTAAGTCATAGAATGTCATAGGCACCCTCATCATAACCCGGGTCAGATTGAGGCCTTTAGTTGCCCTAAGTACTTAAATAATTTTAATGCCCCCACATAATATCTACTAACTCAATATTCAAAATATCAAGAAATACAAGCTGTTAATTACAATGTACGTTTTTTCTAAATAAAACTCTCAATAAGATAATAGAGAATATGATAAGGTTAATGTTTTTAATAGTCAACATCAATGTATTTTTAAAGAAAAATGTTTTCCTCTTCCTTTCTGCTATAAAAAAATCTTTGATCACATTCTCAAAAGTAATTTTCCATAAAACAATTAATACATGTTTCTTTCATTAAATACATGTGTCTATAATTAGTAGCAATAAAGCATTAAGCTTTTCTCTATATCAGTGATATCAATGTTAACTTTGACCATACATAGTGGCAGGGAGTCATTTCAGGTGTATTCAGAGTGGTGGTTGGGAGGGCGGGCAGAACCAAAACTTGGCTGGCTTGTGGAGTTGTTAATTACTGGAGCTGCCACAGTAAATAGCAATTTATATCAAACTGCTATTTCAGAATGTCCCCCACCGGTAAATGGTCACTGAAAATGCCACTATTTTATCAGTGGCCGCCATCTTGGTTGACACGTCACGTGAAGTCATCTATCCCTATGCCTAACCTGGACCCTAAATCGATCCCTATGCCTAACCTGAAACCCTAAATCAATTCCTCTGCCTAACCTGAACCCTAAATCGATCCCTATGCCTAACCTGAACCCTAAATCGATCCCTAAAATAATTTAGTAAAAATAAACAAAGGAAAGTCACTCCCTGGAAAATAAGTAGTGGCATCTTGAATGATCATTAGCCGATATAATAATATAATATATTACATAATGTTAACTGATAAATCATAAGTGACAATAAGTCATATTAATATTAGTGATTTAATGTAACTTTTTACTAAGACTAAATGTAATAAATAGCCTAAGAATATGAATTTATAGTAAATTCTTTAAATTTTAAATCAACAAATTCAAATACTAATTATATTTTAATATTATATATATTTTTAAATTAATTTTCAACCGAGTATGTCTGTAGACTGTATTACTATTTAACAGTGTATATTATATCAAATTTAAATAATTAATAGCTTAATTAAAACGAAAGTTAGTTACTAAAACTAATAACTTGGGCTTGGGTTACTTCCTTATCTTGTCTTAGAAACTTATCACTTTTTCTTTGACTTAGTTAGCTTAGTTATTAGCCTACTTAGTTACTAATACTATTACTATTAGACTATTACTATTAGACTATTACTATTACTATTAGTATACTATTGTGGTACTATTAATACTATTATTATTAGTGTACTATTCTAGGCTAGCAACATCTTTAAAAATTATTCTTGGTAAATTTGGAGTTAGCCTTATTATTACTATTTATATAATTAAAATAATTATTAATAATAAACTTATAAATAATATATTATTTATTGTATTTATATATTTAATATTTACCATTAATTAATTACCAGTATGTTCAACGTCAACGGACGTTACTGACAACACTGCATTTCTCACACTCACAGTCACAGTCACCCGTGACAGTCCTATGTGAATTATTTGAATTAAGTTAATTTAAATGATATATGCATAATTAATTGCCTACCACTAGAGATAAGATAAGAACGAATATAGTTCATTGTTGGGTATCCCTTCTTCACGATTCAGGCCGTCTAACTCTATGACATGACTGTCATCTTCAGTCATCAAAAATCCGATTTTTTTAGTGTTGTATGAGATGTTGTTTTTTTCGCCCATGTAAGTTTTTTAAAGTTATCTCCCTCCACGCTATTATGAGCAGCGGTTCTCAGCCCATGGGTCGCGAAAATCGCGATTTGGGGTTCGCACGACCAATTCCATCATCATGGGGTCGACTAAGACCATCTGAAAACACATATGCTCTACAGTTATGAAGTAGCAACGAAAATAATTATGTGGCTGGGGGTCGCCACAACATGAGGAACTGTAATGACTGTATGAAAGGGTCGCGGCATTTGAAGATTGAGAACCATTGAGTCAAGGGGAAAAAAATTCTGATCTATTTTTATATTATTTATATCCTTTCACAGAACCGCATGAAAAGGCCTGGTTTTACCCTAGTAAATACTTACTTCCCCCTTTTAAAGCCCTGGGCCTGGGTAAACATAAGCTTACGAATAGACCTATCATATTATGATATGCCCGGATAGCAAATGTAGGCCTACTCAATCTATTGATTAATTGAAAAACATTATTATTTTTTTTTTTTAAATGTTTACAGTTTTAAGCTTAAACCGTAACTTTCTGGTTTTACTTCACGGCTAGCCAAGACAAAGCCACCCCCCCCCCTAAAATAATAATAACAATTGACACCGTCCTGGTAAAAACACTACGAATGCTCACATTAATATATTGTTATTTTTTTAAATTAAAATTCGTTAAAGTTTCCCGAAACAATAGCTTCTAACAATACTTTGGCAGTGGTCAGCACCGAAACATTTGACCTAAAATTAAAATGACACGTCCGTAAGTGTCGTAAGAAAAAAGGGGAAAAAAATGTGCGAAGCTTCCTACACAACGCAGAGAAAACTGGTAGAGAATATCGTGCAAAGAGCAAACATTCAATTATATGCTAATGTCTCATGGTCGAATGACTTGACTTAGTCTAGTCATTGTCATAAAAACCAACTAATTTGATATATAGAGTTTATACTATGACTAATATTTATTTTCCTTATGCGGCGCACGAAGACTAGGGTTGGCAGCACCCCCCCCCCTGCTCTAACATGCTGACAAGTGTGTGTGTGTGTGGGGGGGATTACTATTGCGTGTTAAGGTGACGGCAGCAAGACTAACACCATTATGAGAGTGACGAGGTGTCTTTCTTTGAGGACATAGTCATCGCTGCACGTAATACTGCGCCCTTTAAAAAGTAGATAGGAACATAAAATATTAGGCTCAAGATCCAAGCAAAGTAAGTAAAACAAGAAAGAAACAAAGAAAAGACCTGATCAATTTAGTCATTAAAGGCTCTTATACGCACAGCGTCTGTGTTGTTGTTTTTTTTAAATTTTAAAATCATGTTAGCTGTTTCGTGTAGTTGAAATACGCCATAACTTTATGCTAAATATTCTTCCAATCTATCGTTTACGACCATCATTCGAATGCCCAGTATTTGAAAACGACCTTGTCCGCTCAGCGTGTCGTCATCAACGCTATATCTTGAGCACCGCACCGTTCGAATTTGCGCGCTTGATTTAGGGAACGCCACACATTCCAACCCATAACAAGGTTTGCCATTTAATAGGGGGGGGGGGATCTATTAATAGAACATACGGGTGCACATTCTGGCCAATCTCATTAAAATATTAATAAACATCCTGGAATTCCGTTTGGCCAAGCTCTCAACAGCTGTTCGGAACTCCTGCATTTTAATGTAAGCCAGCATATGTTGTCTTAACCCACACGAAAACCTGTTCACAGCTTTAAATTACGAAATTTAAAAAAAATAATTTTTTTTTATTGTTGCCAGAAATACATTATTAAAAGCTATCATTTACGAAAACATTGTCTAAAATAGCAACATTACGTAATGCGATGTGACGTTTTCTGGTCTTAGAAATGACAAACCCTATTGGTGTGTTTGAATAGTTAGACATATTTTAAAGAACAATATAAGAATTAAAAAAAAAAAATGTTTGTCGGCCATTCAGCCCCCCGTCTACACACTTAAATTTAACGCTTGTGTGTGTGTGTGTTTGTTACGTTTGTCACATATAACTTTGTGTAGTTTTCATCTGTCAAAGTACAAAGTTCCCCAAAGGGTTTCGGCGGTGTCCTTCATCGGTTGGGTCCATGAGTTCTCTCTTCCCAACTCCAGCTCTCACACCGGACGGCGCGCCCTACTGGATTCTTGAGCTGCGCGTAAGACATGAGAGGGTGGGGGGGGGGCGGGCGGCCCCACATTGCCACGCGCTCCACCAAAGCGAGTCTTTAGGCTCAAAGAGACACAACAAGGAGTTTGTTGGGTCCATGAGTTCTCTCTTCCCAACTCCAGCTCTCACACCGGACGGCGCGCCCTACTGGATTCTTGAGCTGCGCGTAAGACATGAGAGGGTGGGGAGGGGGGCGGCACCACATTGCCACGCGCTTCACCAAAGCGAGTCTTTAGGCTCAAAGAGACACTACAAGGAGTTTGGAACAAGTAGACCATTTTAGAAATCTTTAAAGTTATATATTTTGTAATCTCTTTAAAAAAAAAACAAACAAACAAACAAAAAAACAGTTCTACAGTAACGAATTATTCTTACGCCAAAAGAAAGCTAACAATTATCACGTAAGTTATAATTTTTTAAAATTTTATTTTGCATGCTATTGTTTAATGATCTTTACATCATTTATAATCACCTAGAGACGCATAGCTCTCCCACCATCCAGCTGTTTAAAGCTACGGACCTACTTAAATATATCGTTTTTACAGATATTACAGTAGGGCAGTGGTTCTCAACCCTCCTAATGCCGAGACTCTTTACTACAGTGGCTTATGTTGTAGCGAACCCCCAACCATATATTTTTTTTCGTTGCTATCTCATAACTGTAGAGTACATGTGTTTCCCGATGGCCTTAGGCGACCCCTGTGAAAGGGTCGTTCGACCCCCAAAAAGGGTCGCGACCCATAGATTGAGAACCGCTGCCATGGGGTTTCAAAACAAATCTAAACATATGTCTTGTGCACACATTTTTTTATTAAATTAATTGTAATCAATTCTTTGAATAACTGCTCCTCAATGGTGAGATAACTGCTTGATTGACAATCTATTCGGTGACACTAACTGTTCAAGAGCTTTGTGGATATGACCTAAATCGTTGAATCAAAATATCATTTTCTAAAAAAAAAATATGATGTTTTTTTTTTATAATCCATCGCAGACCCCACCCACTTTCCCCCCCCCCCCCCCCCCCCCCCCCC